CGGACCAAGATCCAGAAGAAAAACGCCAGGTTCGTCGTGGATTCCGAGCTCTGCACAAAGAAATGGGTACGGATCTTCTTAGGGAGCTCTGAGAAACGCTGTCTTATATCCCTTTTACTTCCCAGATGATTCACGCGTGAAACATACGCCGCCAGAGCTCGAGAATAAACTTCGCCGAGCATATGAGCTTCTGCCCAAAGGTTTGTTCTCGTTTTTGACGAGCTGGATTCAGTGCTTAGTAGGAGACACAAGTGAAAAATACTGATCTGGCAATCTTGGACTCTTCCTTCATGGTCAAGACTGCGACGACCGCCACCCGCGACGCGCGGGACCTCAAATTCGGGACTGGTGCCTTCGACGTAGACGATTTTGTGACAAGACTAATCACTTTCATGGGAGGACATAAGCCTCCCGACGATGTTTCCTCTGATGACTCTGACCTTGAAGAGGATTCCGACTCCCTGCTCGACTGGGGGAGAATGGGGCGCCACGCTTTGGCTCAAAGCCGGCGCGTCCCGGCAATGGGATTTATGTAAGTCTACTCCAGCCAATGCCGATTCCATACTGAATTCGTTTCGCACCAGGCTTGGACCTCTTTCTATGGAGCCAAAGCAGCGCGCACCCAGACGCCATGCCAGGTTAGAGAAGAATAAGAATGACGAAAGACGGCCACAAGAGATCCGGGAGGAAGACATTGCACGGTCTGAGAATGAGACCACGAAAAATGTCGCCATGGTAAGTCTTTCTTCGCACAGTTATCGACACTCTGGAAAACCAACGAACCTAGGTGGCAGCGGTGCTGGATCAAGTGGAGACGATCAACCTATTCAAACTCGTCATCAATCCGGAAAGCTTCGCGCAATCAGTCGAGAATATATTTTACCTGTCTTTTCTCATCCGAGATGCAAAGGTGGCGTTCGAAATTAACCAAATTGGTGAACCCGTCATCTGTAGGCTGCTTTACCTGGATAAAAACGAACAACATCAGACTTATCTGTTACGTTGCGCAGTCTCATGTCAAGAACCCACAGATGAAGACCGAGAGCACGCGGGAGGCCTTTTAAAGAAACAACTTATCTTAGAGTTTGACGTTGCAACGTGGAAGGTCAGTCTAGTCAGCTGTTTCGTTTGCCGCCAAATAATCACTGGCATTCTGCAGCGAGCTATCGAGGCTTTCCATATCACGAAGTCCTTCATACCTACCCGGCCGCAAGCGAGAACTCGAATAGGGAACCAGTGGTACGGCTAGGATTTCCACTCCATTGGTATGAAAGCTCCCTGCGAGTCATATGTAATCAGTATCTCAAAGGATATAATATATTGTAGCTAAGTGTACAGTACCGTAATCTCTTTGTTACCGTGTTCAAGAAATAGCGATCCACACCTCCGCGAGGGAAAACCGGAGACAAATGCCAGCACTTATCTATGCCCGAGGTTGCAACGAGCAGCGTGTCAATCAAGCGGAGTCAGATGACGCTCTAGATCTCGTACCGTCAACAGCCGAGTCCAGGGATTCGGAATTTCAAAAACAACGGTGAACAAAATAGGGTGCGCATTCATGGCAAATACCAGTTGGAGCCGCAATGGTTCACAGAATCTGGGGCATAGCTTCGAACTCAGCGCGCGTTGATTGAGCCGACCAACTGCCAGCTGCTAGGCTGGCACATCCAGCTACTCAAAACTTGCCCACTCGAGGCGAAGAAACAATATCCGGCACTTTGAAGTTTGTGTTCGACGCAGGTTCGGAGCAACTCCCCCTGTCTCCGGGCCGGCGAGTCTCAGCCCGCATCAGCAAGCATTGGATTGGCAGCCTGAGCTAGAAAACTGATCGATGATCATCGATCAATGACACAGCTGTCGGCCAGCTTCATCGTATTCTTGCCTGCATTCGTCTGCCAGGGTGCTCCCACTCCGCCTCTTGTACCCTTTACCCGCCATCACTGACCTCTCCGGTGCTGTTTTCAAGGGTCTCGCGTGGAACACGAGCTCGCGCATCTGACGACGGCGTGTCTTGGCATGTCCGCGGCCGTAGACCGGGATGTTCAGGCGACGGCAAAAGTTCGTGTGGAAGACCGCGAATGGTTTTGCCGAAGTCAGGGTTCGCCGCCAATGCGGGGAACGTGGCCCTGCGGTCTGACTCAGTGTGCGATGTCCACTGTCATTCGTTCACAACATCACCTCGTATATTGCTTTCAATTGCCGTCGCAACCTTGTCCCAAGCGCTGAAACGTGCATGTTTCAACTCAATGATATTAATTGGTACCCTGGCCTGGCGAGAGGAGTATTTCAAACTTCATCGGTAAGTGCGGTGCATTTTTTTTCAAACTTCCGCTTGAATCATTAATGGCGCGAGATTACTTTACTGCTCTCATCTTGAACGCGAAGCTCCCGGTCAGGCGGACGGAGAACTGAGGTGCGAGTTCACATTCACTGTGATGACCTTCATCCAACTAGGCCAAACGCAAGCAAAGATTATAGTCAACCAATTCAACTGTGCAAGTCTTTGATGATCCGCATATACTTATATGTGGGGGACACAACAAACCAGGTCAACTCGTTCCATCCGGCACGTCTGGAAAGCTTTGGTTCGACTGTATCTTGTCGCGAGAAGAACTTCTGTGGCTACTTCCCTCTCTTCCCCGTCTAACTTCTGACTTCTTCCCTTATCCTTCGCTAGCCCTCTTCGTAGCGCACGGGCGCACATCGGTCTTCTTCGACTACCCCCAGTGGTGCCACATCGCGGAATTCTTTCCCCTCTATCGCCCTTTATTAGCAGGCAACGTTGCTCGCCAAGTGCCTCTCACAACGGAGAATGCTCGCCCAACTTGCGAGTCTGATCCAGGCTGTTATTCTGGTCTTTTCGGCGTTTCTCCCTCCCAGTTTGCCTCAGACTGGGGCCAAGCAATGCTTTAATCCGACTGTTCGCAAAGAATGGCGCGCTTTCACAAACGCGGAGAAGGCGGAATGGATCGCGGCCGTCAAGGTTTCTCGTTTCTTACAGGCTCTGACATCTGCACTGACATTTGTGCGCGCCAGTGCCTCGCTAAATTGCCTCACGATAACGCGCTGTCGCCTACGATTAACCCCCCCGATATCGGTCCTGTGAACACTTCGGGGTCGTACTATGATGATTTTGTATATCTGCACATGGTCAGTCAAATCACCGTTGAATATCGGGCCACCAACAAAAACATCTCAGGGTGAGGTTTGACCACCTTGCAGTAGTGAGGCTCACTCATATGCTCCACGGAAGATTTGAACACAGAGGTATATCTCTCCCTCCTTGCACCGTCACGGCTTACTGTACCTGACGCGTTCCCCAGATTCACTTCACGGGCCTCTTTCTTCCCTGGCACCGCTGGTATCTCCACGTTTACGAAGTAGCCCTGAAAACGAAGTGCAATTTCCGTGGGAGCTCTCCTTATTGGTACGCAGGTGTCTCTGATGCACGGTCCAAATGACGAGCGCTGGTCTTCAGGAACTGGACAATAGGCTCGTCCGCCTTCTATGCATTACCGGAGCGATTCATCCATTACTGTTGACAGATGCCTCAAATGTGTACGAAACCACACTGCTCAAGGATTCAGATCCCGTGCACGGACTGGGCGGCTGGGGCGACCCCAATAACGACTACCGCGTGCCTGACGGTGCTTTCTCATCCTCCTCCTCGTTTCAGCTGTCCTATCCCTCGCCGCACACGATCCGTCGAAATTTTACCCTCCAGCCGTATATAGACTTTTCTCGCCCAACGTTCATGACGAATCCGCTACTCGAAGCCAATGCGACGTTCACGAAGGCGGAGACTGACAAACTGATCAACGGGTTCGTGGGCGATTTCAAAGGGTTCCAAACGTACTTCGAGGGGTTTAATGTGCGTTCTTGTGTAATTACCACCCAGAGCTGACCCTAATAAGATCGAAAGAGATCGCATATAGCAGTACATGCCATGGTGGGAGGGTGAGCGACTGGAAGTTCCTCGTCTGCACGATTCCAACTAAATTCAACAGGGACCTGAGGGGGACCTGCCCAGGAAATGCACCTTTGGGTTGCGTCGGTGGCCCGACATTCTCCGCTAATGGTTAGCTATGTATGTTCAAATTGGAAGACTGACTCAGTGCACCCACAGATATTTTGTTCTGGCTTCACCACGCTGTAAGGACCAGGCACTGATGTTTGTTCTTGCTGCTAACTGGGCGGGGTTCTCCAGATGGTGGACAAGATCTGGTATGTACCCTCTATCTTGAGATCTTGAGGAGTTCTCTGTGTCTGATTCCAGATGTCGCTAAATTGAACCCAGGTTCGATTGGCAACGCGAGCACCCAGCGAACGCGAGGGCGTTCGAAGGCGGCTCGGTCCAGGCGCTCGAGAACGTGACCATATTCAATGAGTTCCCGAATGGCCAAGCACCGTTCCTCAATGTTCGTGCCGCAGGCTCTCTTAATTTTTGAATGACTCGAGGCTGACGAAGATTCTTTTCAGTTGAGCTCCACTATGCCGTCGGATGGGTTGTTTCCCCAGGCTAAGATTTCCGATGTGATGAGCACCACGGATGGCATTCTGTGCTATGTCTATGAGTGAATGAAAGCTTGTTCTGTATCGGTATTTTTGGGCAAGTGAATGAATGGCGAATGATTGGAATAGCGGACAGTGTCGTTTGGCTTGGTGCATAATTATAACGCCGTGCGTAACTTGGTGATTCGTCCGCTTGGTCGAATCGTGGGCGGGTCTTATGTCACGGTATCGTCGCAGCAAAGATTTTTTTCCTCGTTGAGGTTTTTTGGTATTTCGAACTACTGCTCGGAATGATGTGGGGGAAGGGACACGGAAGACCTGGTGATGCATTGGCTGTACCTCTACTGACACTCTGGCGGTTGTAAACTGTATGCAAAGCTTCCTCGGACATTCAGCGTTGAAAAATAAAAGAGCGGGCACTGGCACATGACTTGCACAAGACATATCTTATCGCTTTCCCATGTTCAGAATCAGAACCCACAATCGTCGACCTGCTGGTGTAATGGTTACACGCCTGCGTAGTCTAATTGAAAACGGTCCAATCTGTGCAGGAGTTCCTCGTTCGAATCGAGGGCAGGTCTTGAAAAATTTTGAGCTCCCTTTTTCATATTTTAGCTCATCGAGGTGATTAGATGGGTTCGGGTCGAGATAAGTACTTATATGGCGTGCGCGAGGAAGGTCTGGGGTAGCGGGTCCGAGTCTCCTCGAATTGGGACAGGTCATTTTTGCGTTCATTTTGGTTGGTAGACATCACGTTGACTTTCCGTGCGAGTGGAAGGGAGACGAGAGAGGCAAGGAAGATCCGGTGGTCCAGGTGTAACAGTTACACGCCTCGGATGACGCAACGCTTTCTGCAGAGGTTCCTCGTTGGATTCGAGGTCAGGCCATGGCTTGAAACGCGTCTTTTTTGACATTTTGGTAAACGTCTTGACTTGGTGCGAAAAACCAACGAAAAACGAAGGGGAATAAAGAGTTTGGAACAGGAACGGAAGCGAGATCTGGTGGTGTAGTGTTTACACGTGCGCTAGATGTGTGTGACGCAGAGGCTCCTCGTTCGAATCGAGGCTAGGTCATAAACAGACGAGTATGTTCTTTTATTTACTTTGCTTTTATTTTATTTTCTCCAGAATGCGGTTCTACGCGACGTCGATGCGTGTCGTGTCTTGTGGTTGTGCGGGCGGGGGCCGGCGCGTCTGATGCGTTGATGCGCTGATTCGATGAGCGCGAGATAGCGGGGACGGGAGATAAGATCGAGATAAGAGATAGATGACGAGAGCATTTGCGTGTGTTGACCTTGCGCAGTGCCACTGATTCAGTCAGCCGAAAGCCGAAGCGCGTTCTGGCTGCAGCGCGCGTCTAACGCTACTACACCCTTACTTCGTTCTGCTCTCCGTCGGTGCGCTCCGTTCGAGAGCCGGGATTCAAGACCTGGGATTCGAGCGCAAGGCTCGATCAAGGCTCGTAGAAAGGCCAAGAGCAGCGGCAAGACTCCGAGAAGAGAGAGTGCGGAAAGAAGAGACGGGACAAGAGCAGAACAAGACGACGGTAGACGGGATCGAGAAGGATACAGGTGTGTGGTATACAGACGCAGGCTAGACGCGCCGATGCTGATTCGACTTAGCCAACACGACATGGGCAAGAAGCGGCATACGCAGCGGACCGTGCAGGCCAACGGGGTGGAGAAACAAAAGGACGACGACGAGGACGGACTTGGGCTGACGGCGGCGGCGCTGGCGGCGACGAACGAGCTGCTGGCGACGGCGAAGGAGCTGTACCGCACACTTGGGGGCGGGTCGGAGGACGGGGACGCGGGGCTGGACGACGACGACTCGGACGGGGACGAGAAGGGCAATGCCGCGTACTGGCGCGCATTATCCCAGGGCCCGGGCGGACTGGGGGACACGGAGTTCGCGTCGCGCGTACGGGAGGTGGCCGAGGCACTGGTCCCAGCCGCTGCGTCGCTCAAGGGCAAAGCACCAGGTGAATATTTATTTTATTGTTTATTAATTGAAACTCCGCGATCAAAAGCTGACCAATACTTTTCAGCGTTGTCGTCGTCGGTCGTGCCCAGCAGCCAGCACCGCGAGAAAGAGAAAGACATGGCCCCGCCGCCGCCGCCGCCGTCGAGCGTGTCTATTGGCAAGAAGCCCATGGCCTACCAGCAGGCCAACCCCAATCCCCCCCGCAGCGCCCGCGCCGCCGCAAAGGCACCCGTCCCCGCCCCGCCGCCGCCTGAGCCTGGAAAGGGAAAGGCAGCAGCAGCAAACCCCGCGCCTGGCAACAGCGCCAACGCGGGCGGGAACAACAAGATATGGAGCACGAGCAGCAGCGAGGAGCGCGAGCGCATCCGCGACTTTTGGCTCGCGCTCGCGGAGGAGGAGAGGCGGGATCTGGTGAGGGTGGAGAAGGACACGGTGTTGCGCAAGATGAAGGAGGAGCAGAAGCATAGCTGTTCGTGTGCTGTGTGTGGCAGGAAGCGGTGGGTGTTTTGTGTCTTTCATTACTGTCCCTCTTTTCCTTGTCTCTCTTGCATTTCATATTCACCCCATGCCTGCTTACCCTTCTACATCGCCCTATATGTGCCCCTCATCATCCCCACCCGCATTTGTCTATCGTCCACCCAATTCCCTTTCATCCCCCATCCCCACAAAGAACCCCACTGATCCCCCGATCCCCCAGCACCGCCATCGAAGACGAGCTCCAAGTCCTCTACGACGCGTACTACGAAGACCTCGAGCAGTACGCGCTCTACCAGCAACAATACCTCTCCTCCAACCGCACCCTCCCCCCGCCCCCCGGCCCCGGCCCCTTCCCCGGCTCCGTCGAGGTCGACCGCTACGGCGCCGTCGTCGCGGGCTACCCGCCGCCCTCCCTGTCCTCTACCCCCGCCCATCCCAACAATCCCAATGCGGTGAATGGGGTCAACGGCGGAGGCGGGCTGGGCAAAGGAAAAAACCGGCGCGGGCGGCGGAGGCGTAAAGGCTTGGGGCCGGGCGTGCCCCGCGCGCCGCCGGAGGACCCGGACGACGTGTACGAGGAGCCCGAGCCCGACGACGACCCCGACGCCGACGCCGAGGACGAAGAAGGCGACGAGGACGACGATCTGGATGAGGGGGAGGACGGCGAGGGGGAGGGGGACGGGGGGAGGCCGCCGGCGGTGCCGCAGCCGGCTGTGCGGGGCGCGGCGCGTGGACGGGGCGGGGCGCCGGGCGTTGGGGCGGGTGGAAGAGGGGGAGGCGGAAGGGCCGCGGTGGATATGAAGGGCAAGATCGCGGCCGGCGTGGGGGCGGGGGTTGGTGGTGAGTTGTTTTTTTTCCGTTCCCTTGTCTTTCTTTTCTGGCATGGTTCTTTTTCCGCCGTGTTTCTTGGCATATTTTTCCCTCTTCACGCGCCCGCCGCCGTGTCTCGGTGCGACTCTGGGGTCGACGACTGGGCTTGGACTCCTCGTCGCCGTTGCGCAACGCTGGGCCTCGTATCTTTGCCCTTTCTCTTCCGAGTCCCTGGGCTTGCCTGCCACGTGGACATCGGGATTCTTCGGGTCGGACGCGCCGTCTTGCGATTTTTTGGGAGCGGGGCAACGAGGCGGTGAGCGGAGCGGTGGTCGTGATCACTCCGCGTCGCGTCGTCTGAAAGTGGCCTCCCTGGGAGGCCACTTTTTCTGGCCCGCCGCCTCTGCTTCCATTTTTTTCGCTTTTTTGAAGAACACACCCATCTATCCTGAAAATCTCGCAATACTCGCTAACCCCGTTCCAAAGGCCCCACCTCGATCCTGACCGTTGCGGACGACCTGCTCAAGAACGACGGGCGCAAGTTTTTGGAGATGATGGAGCAGTTGGTGCGTTTTCTTTTGTTGCTCTCTCTCTTTCGCTTGCGATGGGCGTTTTTTGTGGGGATTTCCGCGGTGTAATCCTCGTCCCGATCGGGCACAGAGCGCTCCGCTTTTTTGCCTTTGCCGGTTTTTTGCGTCGCGCCGACGAAGTACGACTGCGACGCGGCGTGCCAGCGTTTGTGGCGCGCTGGAGACTCTGGATGAGATGGGCTACGCGATCTGGGGATCGGGTGGGGCGTTGTGGTTCCGGATCTGGAGTCAGATTGCGCGTTTTCCTGGGTGACGCGCAGAGGCTTGCTGCGCACGACACGATGCGCACGCCCACGTATGCTCGACTCGATTCGCAGATCAGATAGTCTCTGTTGGCAGACGCGCTATCATTACGAGCGCGTGCCTCGCTTGATAGACTCGGAGTCGGATCGGTGGATTCGTGCACGCGCGCGGGGCAGTGCCCGACTTTTTATCTGCTTCCCTCCTTCCATCGGCGATGGTCGCCTTGTCGCATTGTCTGGGTGCATCAGACGGCCTGTACCGAGGCCGCGCTTGCCTCCCTCCCTTTCGTTTTAACGCTCGACGAAAATCACGGCGACATCACTAACTGCATTTTTTTCCAGGCTGAACGCCGGCTGGCGCGCGAGGAGGAGGCGGCGGGGGGTGTTAGTGGGGATGAGGTGTGTTTTTCTTCCTTGTGTTTTTCTTCCTTCTTCCTTCTTCCACCTCTCCGTTCCTTTCTTCCTTGGGACGAGGCCGGGTTTATGCTGGACCCCGCGAGATCGTGACTTTCTTCTCTACACGCCGCGCTTTGTTTTTTGCTCGAGCCGACCCGACTTGGGAACGGAGCGCGTTTGCGAGCTGGGTCTTACTATGCGTCGAGCGGACTTGATCACCTCTCTCTTCACCCTACTGTCCCCGTACATCCACATCCACATCCACATCCCCTTCTCCCCCCTTTACAAAGACACACACTAACATTCTTCCTCACTTCCAGGACGACTCGGCCTCGTCCGCGGCCTCGCTCGACGGGGACGGCTCGTCGGATGGGGAGGGCGACGACGAGAGCGAGGGGGAGGAGGAGGAGGAGAGCGGGGAGAGTGGGTGAGTTTTTGTCCTTCTTGTGTATCATATCGGCGTCGAGCTCGACTGCGATACTCGAGTGGCATCCCACTGCGATCTCTACGATCTTGGGCGGAGGAGAGGATGGCCGCGCTTGACATTGGTATAACCCTGATGGCACTGAGCTGACGCTTTTTCTGCTTGCAGGGACGACGACGGGGACAGTGGGGACGAGGAGGAGGACGAGGATGATGGCGGGGAGGAGGTTTGTTTGTATCTCTTGTCTTCAAAGCCAATGCTAACAAGCCCTCAGCAGGTCATGACGGAGGAACAAAAAATGGAGGAGGGCAAGCGCATGTTCAGCATCTTCGCCGCGCGCATGTTCGAGCAGCGTGTTCTGCAGGTGCGCGTTTCTTTCCCTCGCTTAGGCGTATGCTCATCGTTAATTCGCACAGGCATACCGCGAACGCGTCGCGCAGGAGCGGCAGCTGCAGCTGCTGCGCGAGCTCGAGGACGAGGACGAGCGCGAGCGCGAGAAGGAGGCGAAGAAGCAGACGCAGAACCAGAAGAAGAAGGACAAGAAGCGGTATGCTGTTTTTCCCTTTTACAAACGGAGGGTTCATTCCCTTTTTTTCAGGCAACAAAAGCAGGCCAAGGAGGAGAAGGAGGCGCAGAAGGCCGCTGAGAAGGCCGCTGAGGAGGCGGCGGTGAAGGCGAAGCAGGCTGCGGCAGAGGAGGAGCAGCGCAAACGGCGCGAGGAGGAGCGCGTGCGGCGCGAGGCGGCGCGGAAGGCGCTCGACGAGGAGAAGGCGCGCAAGGAGGAGGAGCGGAAGAAGCGGCTTGCGGAGGAGAAGGAGAAGGAGGCGGAGCGCGAGCGGAAGCGCCGCGAGAAGGAGGAGCGCGGGAAGGCGGAGCGGCGGGACCGCGAGGAGCGTGAACGGAAGAGCAGGGAGGAGCGCGAGGCGCGCGCGGCCAAGGAGAAGGCTGCGCAGTTGGCCGCCGCGAAGGAGAGGGAGGAGAAGGAGCGCGAACGCAAGGCGGCGGCGAAGGAGAAGGAGGACAAGGAGAGGGCTGCCAAGGAGGCGAAGGACAAGGCGCTTGCGGCGCAGCAGCAACAACAGCAGGCTCAGCAGCAACAGCAGCGCGCCGCAGCTGCAGCGAAGAATGCGAGCAACGCACGGGCAGCGGTGA